TAAGATGATATTCTAAAGGAAGGAGGCTTTAGGCCCTTAAAACAAGATAATTACATACTATAAAATGCTTGAAATAAGAAAATATATATATTTTTAAACTTAAATATTTTTATTCCATCTGCAAATTGGTTTAAATCAATATAATTCATTTTGATAGATATAGACTTACATCTATATTTCATGTTTTCAGTTCAAGTGTCAGAACCATTTCTACAGGGGTACTGGCCCCTGTTGGTCCCCATCTAGAACTGTCCATGCTTGGAACTCAAAAATTCACTTTTTTTTTAATACATTTTTACTGATTAAAGAGGGGGACTGCTTTTTCTTTGTTTTTTGGGGTTGTTGGATGTGTTAGCTGCATGTTTATCACCATTAGATTGGCCTGAAACCCCTGAGAAACTTACTCCAGTGGTTCTTTCTAATTATTCTTTTACAGACTTTAGCCTGCTTCGTGTTGTCAGACAGGTTCTGTCTGACAACATAAATAATTGATTTAATTGGTCTGAGAGTTTCTAGACTCTGTGATAAGCAAGTTAAACTGAACATAGTTGTGGTCAAGCAGTTAAGTCGGTGTCTCAAAGAGTCCAGATGTGACCCCTACAGGGCGCCCCTGCGTAATAAGGGCAGTTTGTTATTCATGCATTAATTGCAATGTTGAATTCTGTAAACATTTAATTAAAATAAACAATTATGTCTAAGATAACTACGGTTTAAAGTTGGTAGTTTTGCAATTTAACCTCTTAACATATATCTCATTTTGGGAAATTCTGACCTACACTATATTGCCAAAAGTATTTGCTCACCTGCCTTGACTCACATATGAGCTTAAGTGACATCCCGTTCCTAATCCATAGGGTTCAATATGACGTCGGTCCACCCTTTGCAGCTAGAACAGCTTCAACTCTTCTGGGAAGGCTGTCCACAAGGTTTAGGAGTGTGTTTATGGGAATTTTTGACCATTCTTCCAGAAGCGCATTTGTGAGGTCGCACACTGATGTTGGACGAGAAGGCCTGGCTCTCAGTCTCCGCTCTAATTCATCCCAAAGGTGTTCTATCGGGTTGAGGTCAGGACTCTGTGCAGGCCAGTCAAGTTCATCCACACCAGACTCTGTCATCCATGTCTTTATGGACCTTGCTTTGTGCACTGGTGCACAGTCATGTTGGAAGAGGAAGGGGCCAGCTCCAAACTGTTCCCACAAAGTTGGGAGCATGGAATTGTCCAAAATGTCTTGGTATGCTGAAGCATTCAGAGTTCCTTTCACTGGAACTAAGGGGCCAAGCCCAGCTCCTGAAAAACAACCCCACACCATAATCCCCCCTCCAACAAACTTTACACTTGGCACAATGCAGTCAGACAAGTACCGTTCTCCTGGCAACCGCCAAACCCAGACCCGTCCATCAGATTGCCAGATGGAGAAGCGCGATTCGTCACTCCAGAGAACGCGTCTCCACTGCTCTAGAGTCCAGTGGCGGCGTGCTTTACACCACCGCATCCGACGCTTTGCATTGCACTTGGTGATGTATGGCTTGGATGCAGCTGCTCGACCATGGAAACCCATTCCATGAAGCTCTCTGCGCACTGTTCTTGAGCTAATCTGAAGGCCACATGAAGTTTGGAGGTCTGTAGTGATTGACTCTGCAGAAAGTTGGCGACCTCTTCGCACTATGCGCGTCAGCATCCGCTGACCCCGCTCCGTCAGTTTACGTGGCCTACCACTTCGTGGCTGAGTTGCTGTCGTTCCCAAACACTTCCATTTTCTTATAATACAGCTGACAGTTGACTGTGGAATATTTAGGAGCGAGGAAATTTCACGACTGGATTTGTTGCACAGGTGGCATCCTATCACAGTTCCACGCTGGAATTCACTGAGCTCCTGAGAGCGACCCATTCTTTCACAAATGTTTGTAAAAACAGTCTGCATGCCTAGGTGCTTGAATTTATACACCTGTGGCCATGGAAGTGATTGGAACACCTGATTCCAATAATTTGGATGGGTGAGCAAATACTTTTGGCAATATAGTGTATTTTGCATACCCAAATGGAAAAGCAAATAACTTAGGAACTGTAATCCCAAATTACATGTGATACATTATTTAAAAGCTAACATCTTATAGTTGGGTGAGTAAAACTCAGCCCAAGCTGCATTAGTTCAAATATGACTCAAAATTGTTTTTTTTATCCTTGAAAATAATAGGTCTTTTTTGCACAGCAGTAATAAAGACATGATTGCTTGTTGTGGCTGCTTTGTCATGTTTACATTTTGACATGCTGCTATATCTGTGTTAATGGTGCTTAGGTGCTCACTGTGTCCATAAAAGGAACTTGGTGGTTGAATTGTGAAGAATCTGAGCTTTCTAACATGTCTATATTGGTAAAAAAAAAAAAAATGAACTGGTGTAATTTTCATGCATTCTGAGTTATTAGATGTAAACACTTTAAAATGGGTCGTAGGCAGTTTTTTTCAAAGCAACGTGTAACTTATTGCAGAATCTTTGCTCAGTTGTTAAATGTTTGTCATATGAGGGGATTTAGGGGTCCCAGTAAGCAAAGATTTTGTTTCTGTGGGCATTTTTTCCTGTGTAGTAGTTTAACAGTTTTTAAACAAGGACCAAATTGCTCCTTAAAATTCAAATGACACAACCCAAGGCCAACAGTAAAGAGCTCACTGTAAGAGCTGTAATATTAATTTAATAAACCACCTTTAAAAGAGAAGACCAGTTTCCAGTAAATACTGGTGACGGTTTTAGCAGATGGAGACAAACACGGTGACAGTCAGAATGTTTATTGCTCTTTTTGGTAGGCATTAGGAAGAATGTGGAACGTGCCTCAGGGTTTGTCTCACATGTATACAGGTGCTGGTCATAAAATTAGAATATCATGAAAAAGTAGATTGATTTCAGTAATTCCATTTAAAAAGTGAAACTTGTATATTATATTCATACATTACATACAAACTCATATATTTCAGATGTTTATTTTGTTTAATTTTGATGATTACAAATGACAACAAATGAAAATCTCAAATTCATCATATCAGAAAATTAGAATATTACTGAAGACCAATAAAAACAAAGGATTTATAGAAATGTTGGCCAACTGAAAAGTATGAACATGAAAAGTATGAGCATGTACAGCACTCAGTATTTAGTTGGGCCTCCTTTGGCCTGTATTACTGCAGCAATGCGGCGTGGCATGGAGTCGATCAGTCTGTGGCACTGCTCAGGTGTTATGATAGCCCAGGTTGCTCTAATAGTGGCTTTTAGCTCTTCTGAATTGTTGGGTCTGGTGTATTGCATCTTCTTCTTCACAATACCCCATAGATTTTCTATGGGGTTAAGGTCAGGAGAGTTTGCTGGCCAATTAAGAACAGGGATACCATGGTCCTTCAACCAGGTACTGGTAGCTTTGGCACTGTGTGCAGGTGCCAAGTCCTGTTGGAAAATGAAATCTGCATCTCCAAAAAGTTGGTCAGCTGCAGGAAGCATGAAGTGCTCTAAAACTTCCTGGTATGTGGCTGCGTTGACCCTGGACCTCAGAAAACACAATGGACCAACACCAGCAGATGACATGGCACCCCAAACCATCACTGACTGTGGAAACTTTACACTGGACTTCAAGCAACGTGGATGAAGTGCCTCTCTTCTTTTCCTCCAGACTCTGGGACCTTGATTTCCAAAGGAAATGCAAAATTTACTTTCATCAGAGAACATGACTTTGGACCACTCACCAGCAGTCCAGTCCTGTTTCTCTTTAGACGCTTCTGACGCTGTCTGTGGTTCAAGAGTGGCTTGACACAAGGAATGCGACAGCAGAAACCCATGTCTTTCATACGTCTGTGTGTGGTGGTTCTTGAAGCACTCACTCCAGCTGCAGTCCACTCTTTGTGAATCTCCCCCACATTTTTGAAGGGGTTTTGTTTCACAATCCTCTCCAGGGTGCGGTTATCTCTCTTGCTTGTACACTTTTTTCGACCACATCTTTTCCTTCCCTTCGCCTCTCTATTAATGTGCTTGGACACTGAGCTCTGTGAACAGCCAGCCTCTTTAGCGATGACCTTTTGTGTCTTGCCCTCCTTGTGCAAGGTGTCGATGGTCGTCTTTTGGACAACTGTCAAGTCAGCAGTCTTCCCCATGATTGTGTAGCCTATAGAACTAGACTGAAAGACCATTTAAAGGCTTTTGCAGGTGGTTTGAGTTAATTAGCTGATTAGAGTGTGGCACCATGGGCCATCAATTTTGAACCTTTTCACAATATTCTAATTTTCTGATATGATGAATTTGAGATTTTCATTTGTTGTCATTTGTAATCATCAAAATTAAACAAAATAAACATCTGAAATATATGAGTTTGTATGTAATGTATGAATATAATATACAAGTTTCACTTTTTAAATGGAATTACTGAAATCAATCTACTTTTTCATGATATTCTAATTTTATGACCAGCACCTGTATAAGACTCCAATTATCCCCTGTTTATACATGCCATATGTTTTTCTTACATTATGTTTGAAAGTTTAAATTAAATAAAAAAAAAAGTCTATGGTTGGAACTTGGTACCAGGTGTAACGGCAAACTAATGGCGGAGGAAGCACGAGCATTCAAATGTATGCTCCACTTGTTTGCTGCATTTTTGTCACACTGGCAGAAAATCACAAGTTAGGAAAAAGAAAAAGTCATAATTTTTCAAAAGATAAGTTACTCTTATTTTTAAGAAAGGGGCAAATGTTTGATCTCATGTCAAGCTGCGTTATAGAGCTACAGCCATGCATATCAGTTATCACAGTGTTGCCATGGCAACAGCTCCTTTTCTTTTCTCTTGGAGGCGATTCTCATTTATACGTGCTCAACTATGAGAAACTGACTTCACAAAAATCAAAAAAATCTAAAAGTGACTAAATTAGAGACTGTGGTGTCCCAAATAATTCATATGAAAAAAAAAATTGTCAAACCAGGTTTTTAATTCATATGTGATTTTTCTAAGCTAATTATAGTCTATGTTTCTTAGTTTCACTTCAATTTTTAAAAGTAGAGGAATTATAAAAGATCAAAAACAACAAAACTCAAAAAAGGCAGAGTGCGATGAGTTTTATAAATCAGGTTTCTATCTGCCCCCCAAAAATTTCCAGCTCACCTTAAACTAAATGAAGCTAAAAACCAAATCTAACTGCTAGAAAGCTAGAGCACATTTTCTATTTTAAAATGACAAAGCTGCAATAATATATATCACAATAGAAACCATTAAATGTGAAAAGGGATGTATGTGTGAAACAACATGCAATGTAAACTTAAAAAAAAAAAGTATATATATGCTCAGAGATTGTTGGGAATGTTGGACATCTTCTTTTTGGACAGATCTTCAGGACCAAAAGAGGCCGGCAGCAGCTCAGCCACAGTCATCTTTTGGTAGGAGAAGTCAGGCTTTGAAAGATAAACCTCCCAGTCACACCCAAACTGTAGTAAAAACAAAGATGAATAAAAACAAAAGAAAATTAATAGCAAAATTCAGGCATGTTAGTAACAAAGCAAACAGGCAAATGAAATCAAGTATGTATGAGACTAATAAAAAAAATAATAAAATATGAAAAAGACAAGTAAACCAGAGTCGAGATAGGTTGAAGAGCAACAAATAAAAATGTTTTCACCCTCCATAACCCACAAACTCTTTTTGCACCTTGTGTGCAGCACTCTTTCACTGAAGGAGCTTTCCAGTTTCTTTTCCAGCTTATTTGCTACTCAAATTATTAAACTGTTAGCATGTTCTACCTAAAGGTCAACTAAATAATCACAGCAAGAAGAGAAAAACAGGAAGCGTAGTGAATTGTTTTAGAAGATCTCCTACCTCTCTCATGAACTGCCTGCAGCCACCACAAGGGGAGATGAACTGGTCATTCAAATCACTGAAAGAACATAGTAAAGAAAATGTCCTTAAAGCAAGAAAAAAAGGATTTCCTCAGAAAATCTGAAAATAGTGCTGTTTTTTGAATTAAATACCTGGTCTGATGTGAAAAAAGAACTTCATTATTTTTACTATAAGAGCAAAAATAGGATATAACTGTAAAACAAATGCAACAGAAATACTCCTACTCTGGTACTATTGAATGGGTACAATGATATTTTAGCAGTAGAGCCAGCTATCAGCTAACTGAGCTACAATATTCAAGAAACGTTGATTGGTATTTAGCAAAAAGAAAGGAAGGAAGATTAAGTGAAGGTAAAAATGTGATGTGAGAACCATAATCATCTTAATAAGCTGAAATGTGAGACAAAGCTGTCTGTGTCAAGCATTTTTCATTGGAGAAGTAAATCATTTTCCTGAAAAGGTGTGGTGCGTATTTAACGTATAAATCCTGTTAACGATGGACATATTTCCTAAAAAAAATACAAAATTGTTTTTGTTTTGCTTAAAGTAAAATAGGAAGAGCAACATTTGTGTCTGTGAGAACTTTTTCACACCTCTCTAATAAGGCGCTCTGATCCAATTACAGCAATTAAGGAAATTTCCGATTATGTTCAGGATTGTTACATGCAAAAAAGAAATGAGAAATGAAGTAACTCCTGGCTTAGCAATACAGTAATTAGACAAGGATGATTAGTTATATACTGTCATACTGGTAGCACCAGTATGACAAGATATAGCTTTACTCTGCAGGCATCAGCTGTTAGTCAGAGGTTACCTGGCGATGGCAATGGCTCTGAACTGTCTGCAGCCCTCTGACACCGCCTTTGCAATAGCATTCCTTTCGGCACACACTCCCAGATTGTAGCTGGCGTTCTCCACGTTACAACCTGCCAGAGGCACAAACAGACGTAATGTATGGAGCTGTAAAGAGAACATCTGTAGGTGAAGAGAACAGGCTTGTTTACTTATTCAGGCCTTTTGAAATAGTAACTCTCTGGGTCTTTGCACTCACAGCTGTTAGTTTGTCATTCACCTCTCAACCCACCCCCCCCCCCCCACCCCCACCCACCCCCACCCCCACCCACACACAAGTTATTGAAAACAAGGGACTTTTCAAGCTTTCTGCTGTCCAGTAATGCAGTGCGAGATCTGTGCCTGATACAAGGTGAGGTAGACAGAGGTGCTCGGATGTTAAATTTATCGAAATCATGAGAGGAAGGATGGGATTCAGTCAGATCATGACACCCGGTCACCCGAGAGGATTATTGATTGATAGACTGAAACATAATCCTCTGAATTTTGTACTAAGTTGACTTGCAGGTAATAATTAACATACTTAAGTAGGATAAACTTCAGAAGAAAAACTACATTTTTAAGTTCTAAGTTTTGAAGCCTCATTTAAAGAGTCAGAAATGCAGATTGAACACGATGTACTGATCATTTTATATGAGTCTCCTCAAGTCAAATTTCATATCTGTTCATTTTCTTACTTGTTGACACATACAGCTTACCTAGAAACACACGGTCGTCGAGGGTCCGGAGTGCAGCTCCCACTCTGAATTTGCTGTATGGAGAGTAAGAAAACTTTTTGGCTTCATGAGATTGATGGATCAGTTCTTTAACATCCTCCTGCGACAAACGTGAGACCTCATGTGTGGACTTGACTCCATCCATGCTGCCTTTTTTTTTATTCTGATAGGTTGTTTCTACGTATCTGTATCAGACTGATGTGGTCGGGCTTTAAATGTGAATGAGACAGAGGGAGAGGGAGAGAGGGTGCAGTCACACAGCAAACTTAACGTGCTGTCATGAAGAAAAGGGGAGGAGGTTTGGCTGGTGTAAGATTTATTAAGTATTAGAGGACAGGTTGTGACGAAAGAAGCTTTGACGTAAAAGCTGAACGAATTACCAACAGCATTGCTTACACAATGCTTCTCCAGAAGAGGACACACAGTTAAAGTTTATGTGAAAATGAGAGTTCCTTTTTTTGTACACAAGCTTACTTTTTATCCGAACTTACTGTTTTGAAGGCAATGCAAATATACAGTTAGTAGAAGTTATAGTCATTGGAGATATTGGGTTTTGAAGTTTAAAGATAAAAAGAAAATTGCATTTAAAAATAGCTAATTCTGCTCATATTTCCTGTTGTTTAATTACGTCACTCATTTGTTTTAGTTATTTAATTATAGACTTTAGAATACCTAACATTTTGGTCTGTTTTATTTCATCATTTTAAAAAGTCAATCAGATGTTATGAGTTACTCGGCACTTGATTACTGTAGGTTTTTTACCAAATATTTATTTACTCTTATTTGAGTAAAATTTGTGGATACTCTACCTGCGTCTGTTTGTCCGTCCATAACACAGAGTTTCTTTCCCTTAGGCCATTTTTTCTTACCATTTGTCCCACTCTCAGTCAAAAGTCTTCATGATTGTCCAAAAGTGGAACGTCCAATAACTGAAATGAAGACTAGTTTATTTAATCTTTTAGTTTGAGCATTTATTTTTTTAATAATTTAATTTTTTTTCATCTCAAATAAAAAAAAAACAACAACAAAATAAATAAGTTTCCTAGAAGTTAGTAAGGAATCAAAAATAAATACAAAATAGAATCTACCTGTATTTATACGCTGGAGCTCCTCGGTCATGATTCTCAACTGGGAATAAAATACTGAACAAAAATTATAGTCAGACTGACTTAATTAGTTTAACTTAGTTTTTTTTATCAAGACACCTGAGCTGCTTTAAGGAGCTCCGATAGCTCAGTGTGAAAAACAGTCGATCCCAGGCTGTTCTCTACATGCAGTCTGTTCATCTGCTTGGTTTTATTCTTTGCGGAAGCTGCAGGTGAACTCAAACATACAAGAACAACTTACTTTTTGGTTGATAAAAGCTTGCTTAATTTTTCAATTTGGTCCCCACAAAGCAGAACAGATCTCAACCCTATTTATTTTACTACCTAAGAAATCAAATATTTTCATGTAAGCCTTGCAATGCACTCGTGGCCTTGATCTTCATGTATTTATTTTTTCATAACATCCCAGTTGTTTCGGTGTTACTAAGTTATTATTACTGTTTTATTTGCCTTGCCTTAAAAAGTTGCTAGTTATTTTTTCATTGTACTTTTTTTCTCTGATTCTAATAAATGACACAAATTTAAAAAAAGCATAGTTTTCAAATTGCTGTAGTGTTCCAGCAAAAACTTGTCTTTCATCTAATTGTAACTCTGGAGGAGCTGCAGATATCCACTGCTCAGGTGAAAGCCTGATTCTCTGAGTATCTGCCAGCTTTTAGACCATATTCACATTTTCTGGGACTGCCAGAAGATAAAAAAATTCTGGAGGAATGTCAAGAAGATTGAAGATACAATAAGAATGGACATTTCAATGGACCACCTTATATTCCTGTCTGATCTGATGTGTTGTTGAGGACCAACAATATATTTTACAATTCATTCTATTGTGTAGCCAGAATAACGCTCACCCTATACAGGCTTAAACCATGCCCACCGGCCATCATGCAATGGTTACAAAAGAAAAACTGTTAAATCAGACGGAGTGTCTAACTGCCCAACTCATATGTCATCTCTTCAGTGACCTTCATTTTCCTTTTTATATAGTTTGTTATTAAAAGGGAGAAAGAAAGAGAAAGAAAATATAAATTATAATCCCTCTATCTGTCTGTCTGTCTATATAAATGTATTTTTGTTTTAATTATTGTTTCTTTGTCTTGAGTTATGTCAGAATGTACATTCAATAAAATCTTTTTTATTGTTTTACCAGCATATATTACTGTACATGGCTATTTAACCTATTATTACGATTATTTTTATCTAATCAGCATATAGCACTGTATATACTATGTAGGAGTTAGCCATCCATAATAAACATCTAAGTATTCATTTGTTTATCATTTATCTGAGTATAAATTCATTTATATATTCATTCATTGTATTTATTCATTTATTTATTGTATGTGTTCATATTGTTGCCATTGTAGGGTAATATACCTACAACATATTTTTATTTGCTTTCACGGTATAATGTAATGTTAGTGTTAAATAGTAAGTCATACATTGTTAAATGTTTTATTTTTTGGTAAAAATCTTTTTGATTGAATTAGTTTTAATTAATTATCCATATGATACTATGTCTAAGTTTTATCTAATGACAGTAAACATAAAAAAGTGTTGCTTATTAACAAAATAACTATAAAGTATGTAGATATGTATTTTTTCTTGTCCATGTTTCACCTTAAAATAATCTAAATGACAGAAAATAGACAATTCTGTTTGAAAAAATATTTTTTTTTATTTTTTAGATTCTTTTAAAAAAAGAAAAGATTGTAAGGTGGATAAAATCCCAGACAAAAATCATTGATATTATACGCTGAAAATGCATTTATTTAAATTATTAGGCTTGTGGTGGTGAATCTGTTATACTAATATCAACAATCTTAGTTTGATTCTTTCAAAAGAAAAGATGTACAAAGTGACACTCTGTGAGTTATGTCTTTAGGTCGATGTATACATGTTTATTAAGAAAAACTGTCAAAAAAACCCCAGAAAAAACTTTCAATTTTCTTCACCAATATAAAGATTAATCTCTGGAGTGTCTTCTTTGGCCTGGTGGGTGGTTAGCTGTTCTGAATGGCCCAGTCGATCCATGACACGTAGTTTCTCACATTACTGTAGACGCCGGGGTAATAAGAATAGGCACACCCAATGCCCCACGATACAATGCCTTCCAGTTGGCCGTTGCAGACCAGCGGCCCTCCTGAATCTCCCTGCAAAGGGCAAATAAAGGGGATATAATTGGTAAGATGAGGTTTATTTTAAATATTGTGACAATAACCCCAGAACTGTATGCTACTGTAGCAGTTCTTCATATTGTGGTAACCAGCAGCTGTCAGGTTATTTTACTTTGAAATCTTATGACAAATAACATTAGTGTATAAAGTTTGATAATATCTTCATTGTGCTTAAAGCTTCTTTAACAGAATTATCTGGTTAATGGAATGAAATAATGAGTTAAATATTCATTCTAACCAGCAACAGTGGAATCAGTTTTGTATTTATTTATTTTTTTATATACCAAGAAGAAAAAAAAAAAAAAAGAAAAAAAAAAAAAGAATAAAGAAATAAAGTAAAGCAGCTCTACTGCAGCCCCACCGCTTTGGAGCTGTGACGTAGCTACTGACCTGACAGGAGTCCCTCCCTCCTTCATGGGACCCAGCACAGATCATGTTTTTTGTGATCCTGAAGTAGTAGTAATACCAACACTCTGCGAAGTAATCCACATCTACAGACATCAGTTCAGGAGACAAGCTTTGGCCGTAGACCCAGGTGACCCCCCAGCCGCTGACTGTGCACCGAGCAAAATCCTGCAGAGTGCCCGTCCGAGGCAAAACAACTGGGCTCACCTTTTCATTGATGACAGCAGGGCGGTCCAGCTGACCCACAGAGGAAAACAGCCTCAGTTAGTCATCATAAAAAGCTGCTCCTCAGTAACAAACCAATGATCCATGTTACTTTTGTATAATTCAGCCTGTTTAATTTGTTTTAGAATTTTCGGGCTGCAAAAGGTGCAGACAAAGATGAAAAAACCTTGCAGCACTTTAAAGATGTTTCTGTGAGTTTTGAAAAGTGAACAAAAAGCAGCTGCTGAATTAAACTGATGATGCCATTTCTTTGTTGCATTTCTTTGCAATAAGAAACATTTTCCCTAAAATATTAGACAAGGTCCTTACTGTGTTGCAATCCAATTAAAACAATGAATTTACATCCATCTGTAGAATAACCTCAACTGTCTTAATACTGATATTCATAAGTGCATTTTCTTCTGCCCAAAATTCTGTACATACTTTATTTAAATATATTACAGATAATTCATCATAGAGCACGCATTGCAATATGAATAGATAGAATGTAGAAAGGACATAAATAAGAATATGCAAAAAGGCAAATAATACAACAAAAAATAATATAATGTTTCTACACATTGCAGTTCAAGTATTTCCAGGTTTTTGTCTAATGCTCTATGATAAAATGCCACAGTTTGTATCCACTCTTTGGCCTCTTTTATCCCATCTCTGATTTATTATAGTCTAAAAATCCTCCTGTATCCTGTTCTAATTCCTTACTCAAAATAATCACATCCCAACCAAAACGTTTCTCTTTGCGTGATCTGCCCCTGGGTTTTCTACCTTAAGAAGCATGATGTCATTGTCCAGGTTCCAGTAATTAAACTGGTAATGTTTGATGATTAACAAGACGTCAAATATTTGCTCGAAACCCTCTTTTGTTTTGATGTTGTGCTCCCCCAGGACCACTTTGATCAACTCATTTCTGCAGGGACAAAAGAAAAAGCATGCAAGATTATCGTTGCTTCATGTCGTTTCTCTCTGTCAGATAAAAAAGCAGACAATGATACACTTTGATGGTTGCGATTCGCATTAACTTGAATATATATTAATATTTATGTAGTAGGTGAAGTTGGACATCTGCAGTAACTTACGGCCTCCAGCAGTGGGCAGCAGACACCACCCACTGAGGGTGAACCAGGGTGCCACCACAGAAGTGGTGGCCTCTGAACAGGAGAGAGGCTTGATATTTGATAGAGTAAGGCTCCACCACTGTGCCACCAATAATTCTTTGATCATTCTCAACTAAAAGAGAGAAAGACAAAAAATAAAATAAAAGTGTTTTCCTTGTATTTTTATCCACAGGAATATCCTGTCAATAAAATATATATATTATTTCTCACCTGCTAGATTGACAACAATCATTGCAAGCAGAAAGATTAGACAGAAGGGGGCCGGATGCATCATATCAGCTACTATATCAAATACAGATAATATAAAAACAAGTCAAGACAAAATTTCCAATAGTGGAAACAATGAGGACTCTTTATAACATCATTATTTTAGTTTAAGCTGCATAATTAACCACAGATTGTTTCCACACAGCAGCAACAACATGATAATCGAATGTATAAAATGTGCAAATAACAGTATACAATGAAATGTGACATAACAGAGTAAAATATGATGCAACAGAATGCAAAACGTTAAATGACAGGGCCACATTTACTTTGATGTCGTAAATGATGTTTCGAATATTTCCAACACAGCATTACTAAACGTAGCATAAATGTATAAAGTGCAAAGTAAATAAAAAAAATGCCCTTACATTTTAGAACAGAGCTCAATAAAAGCTACGTGATGTAGAGCAATATAAGACCAGCTAAAATAACAATATATAACTTCATGTAACATAAAATGACCGCATAACCCAGCATTAACATAATATGATAAAACATGACATAACCCTGACGTAGTATTCACTTTTTAGAAGAGGCCTAACCAAATGATATGGGACTCATATTTGACAGAGAATTTATAAAGAGAATTTAAGATTATGGTGATGACAAGGAGGCCGTCCAAATGCCAATGATTAAGCGTCAAATACCAATAGAGACATGTGAAAAGTAGGCAAGCATTTATGAGAAGGGTTTGATAAACTTACTGTCAATAGTTAACAAATTGAGGGGGTATGATATGAATAAAATGCAAAAAAAAAAAAAAAATTTTACATAGTTTTACTATTATTGTATGATCAAAGTGAACCTTCAGGACTATTCGGGTCATCTGGTTTATGTCTTCTACTCTGCATCCACAGTGTTAGAACCAAATACACAGCAATTATGTTTCTCTAATCCAGAACAACCCCCCCCAAAAAAAGATAAGATAAGATAAAATCCAGAGTTGCTTTATGATGTCCTACTTAATATTTTGAATAAAAGATCAGCAATTTCAGTCTATAGTCCAACTTTTCTTTGTTTTCTTTTTTTATGTTACTGAAATATAAACTGTTTTCTGTTTTCTTAAGTTGTGTTTCTGTATAATGAAGGACTTTAAATTGTCCTGTTCCAGAAATGTTCCGCATAAAAGAACATCCCGTGCCTTCTTATTAGTACATAGATAAATAAATAAATAAATATGTTTTTAAATTTTAAACTGTTTTATAATCATTTAAAAGCCGCCTCACCTCATCAACAGTTGCATCAGAAACCACCTCCTTCCTTGACATATAGTATGGACTAATAGAATCCCAAACATCAGGAGAAGTCTGAGACTCTCAGGACCCTTTTATACTCCAAACAAGCCTGTCCTCGTATTATCTCTCACCATTATTAATGTCTCCGTCACAATCAGAAAGTAGAGAGTCTGACCCAGTACAAGAAGAAAAAAAAACCTCACTCCATCCCTCTCTTTTATTACACCTTTTCCTTCAGGGGCCTTTGTTCGCCCAACTTCAGCTTATTGTTCAGCGTTGCAGATAAAGCGAATCTTTGCAGACAGGTAACCCAACAAGCCAGAGAGATGATAACCTATACTTGTTTGACATGGTGTTTTTATATCCAGCGATGTTATGATTGCAGCCATTCTTTTCTTGAACAAGAAGAAGCTCTTTGCTCCTAGTCTTCCAGTAAAACTTATCAGTGAGCAAAACTTCAAAGCCTCTTTGTCGGTCTCACACTGAGTCATGATCTAAATGATTATCATGTTTAAGATTAGGAATATTTTAGATCAAATATTTGTGTTTCTAAGCTGTGATTCATTCAAACATGAATTTTTTTCCCCATCAAAACCTGACTGATCTTCTTTTGTTTTTTTCATATATTTACATACAGAATTTTCATCCATACAGGTGTTTGGTTTGCAGCTCCTAGCCTACATACAGTCGGCACTCCCCAAGGTGTCATTCCACCTGTGAGGGTGGAAGCTGATAGCATGCTCAGCTTTCCCTCAGGTGCAAAGTTGCTGTGGCAAACAGTATGCCTTTGTGCCTGGTGTGGTTATTACACAGGGAATGAGGCAGAGGCCTTAAACAAAACTCTAAACGAGGCTTTTCTTTTGTGAAAAATAGAAATCCTAAGCAACTATGTCCTGATACAACATTTTACTTTTAGATGCAATGCCAGTATTGCAGCTTTGTCCAACACTAATATTGACCCGTTACTATATCCACACAAATCATACATATTTCTACCGCTTGTATTGTAGTTTGAAATGTTAGAAAAGGCTTGATTATGTCCCAGTAATTAAACAGAAAACAAAAGTCAAAAAGCAATGGGTTACATAAACTGAAGCAGAGTGTTTTTTATTAGGTTGCTCAAATCAGAGATTTTAGCTGAAGGCTGATTTATGGCGATTTATTTGTCTGATATTGAATCTGTTTATTATATCAGGATCAGAACAAAAACCCCTACAACTAACACTGTTTTGCCCAGAGTTGAGTTGACTTCTAGAAAGATGTACCGCAGTAGCACTACGTTATCACACTCTTGTTAAGTAAAAAGTAACCAAGAATTTTACTCAAGTAAGAGTAGAAATGCATTTGGTTTAAAGGCTCACAAGCTTATTTAACATCTACAAATGTTAAGTTGCCCAAAAAAGGCACAGAATAAAAAATACAATAAACTATTTCAGGGATAAACATTTAAATTGGTATTCAGCTTTTAATTACAGCAGCAAGACTTCTAGGTGGGTTAGTACCAGCTTTGGGCATACAGACTGAAACTTTTACCTGTTTTTCTTATAGCACATAAATATGGTTCAATCTAAGCTTTATGTAGTTTCCGCTGGGAAAACTGGTTGTTTGTTGTGGTATTTTGCAGCTCCAGAACACAATAGCTCTGACGTGGGAAACACCCGGCAGTGAAATGCTACACAAAGCCATCTTTACCTTTCTCTGGGTGAAACATCAATTATTCAGCTGCTTTTAAATGAGGGACAAATGGAGGTCAGGCATCTTTCGCAAACCCTCCGACTGTGGATGATGAGGAGCTGCCAGATGGCTCCTCCACATAGTCATCATCACAGCTATTGTCATGGTAGAGTCATCAGGCTCATAACAAGTTCTTATCGTCGCGGACACAGATTCAGGGATGGTCAATGAGTCAGAAAGAGACACTTGTGGGCAGATAGTGTCATTTCCAATGCAGTGTGAATACAAAAAGGAAAATACACAACAAAAACCACATGGTTTTAATCATATACCTAACCATTAGCAAATATGAAGGTGAAGACCTGCAAATTGTCCTCACTTTGGCATAAATGTTCTTGAATTTGGTGGTGAAATCAGAAAAATGGTCCTCATTTAGATGCCTAAAGAGCAGTTCACACACACACATGGATATTTCAGCAGGGATAATCCTGGATGATGAAACATAGCGTGCTGATACAGTATAGATGCACCCTGCTTGGACAGAGTACCTTCTTTGTTGCTATGGCAACAAACTTAGGCCTTTCAACAAGTCAGGCAGGTCAGAGGACAGACAGTTCTGATAAAAAAGACTTTCTGAAAGCAAACTTTGTTGTATTTTTTATTTTTTTTCTGTCTGAAGGGGTCACCTTGCTGCTTCATGAAAACCAATGAAATTAAAAACCTTTGTTTTCACAGGAAACCTAAGGATGAAGATTGATTAGAATAACTTCCACTGTTACCAGAGAAGAAGGAATAAGCATCCTGGGCCGACAGAGAGGAGGCTGCTTGTCTGCCTGCAGCGATTCAGCTATTTCTATATATATATATACATATATATGTATGATCTCAGGTAACGTCCTTGTCTGCTATGATGAAGCTGCTTTTTGGTTTATGGTCTGTGCTCCTGGATCTAACCATGTTCCACAGTGAGTAGTAATTCTTCAATTTATTTTCAATGCCTAATTTAAAAATTGAACATGTCTTTAGACTGAATAGTTTATGATATACCTTTTAATTAAATCTGTAATGCATTTTACAAAAATGTTTGCTGGTGTTTATATCAGTCAGATGAGAAACATTAAATGTGTAAAAACGACGAAGTGCTGCCTTCTTACATTTTACTGCATGCCTGCAGAATGCAATAAAGAAAAATTTACTAAGAAACAAAAGAAGCCCCACTATTTCCACATCTCAGAGACAATGTGAAACGCTGGAAGAACAGAGACAGAGAGAGAGAGACAGGCACTGATGTTCCCCAGTGCAACAAAATCAACAAAAACAGAATCTACTTTGAAACCCTTTTTATTTGAATGGCTACCTATAATTCTGCACAATCCTTTGAGCTAGGCTTAAAAATAAACTTCAGAGCAAACCACAAAGAGAAGTAATTATCTCAATGAATAATCTAGTTTGGCTGATTTAGAAAATTGCTTTATGAAAATGTGAAATGAAAATGTCTTTCCATTCAGTCAAATGACATAACATAGCATAATAGATACCTTAAATGTGAATCAGCATGAGTAAATTTTATCATCAAGATTAGATTATTAAAGTTATGTCTCTTTCTCTGTGTCTAATCACTGCAGAAAAAGAATCAACGACTATGAAAATAAGAATTTTATGATTAGCTCTGCACATTTACGAATCAACACATTTCAACCAAATCTGGGAGATTGGTACAAAGCATCTACTCTCTAATCTCCTTTTTTCCTATTACCTCTGCCTGCAGAATCCAGAACCAGTGAGAACCTTTTGCCCCTTTTCCACCGGCTCCAATTGTCCTAGTTCAACTCCACCCCACCATTTAAACATTTCCATTACTCCCTTTCAGTACCGGTACTGGCTTTATTTGCCCTGCTCAAGAGTAGGAATGATCAAAAATTTGTAGGGCTTAAAAAAGCAAGTACCAGTAATAAAAAACACTAAAGAAAATGTTTGAAAATATGTAGGGTGGAGTGGAGCCGCTGGAAGAAAGGCGTTTTTTTCCAAGACAAATAAGAGCCAAGATAAGAAAGAACCAAACTTTGTTTCTTTGGGGCTTTCTCACTAGCATGCCTAAAATGTATATCTGAACAATACTTTGATCTAAACTGTGTCTTAAATATCCCAGCTGCTAGAGTTGAAGCTAAGGTCGGATAGTGGCTAGTTTTGCCGTGCTGAATACACATCTTGCTCTGTTCCTGCAGCAATCGGCCATAGCGTGCGGCCATATTGGCTGTTCATCACTCCCTTCAGTCAGTACTATGATGTCTGGTTAAGACATTAAACTACTTATTTCTCTTTCCTAATTCCTTAAAACAAGCATTGCTTCTAATATTTTGTTACAATGCTTTATTGGTTCTTAGATGCAGCATTTTCTTATTTTTTCCCTTTAATTACGTTTTTACACAGTAGTTTTGATTAAATATATTAGTCTAGGTAAAGACTTTGTTGTGTCCTTAGAGAACATTGGTCCATACTTTCACTTCCCCTGCCATTGTTCTATATTGGAAGGCTGGTATTCATGGGACAATAACTGACAGAGACTAAATCGTATTAGGGGGGAGTGGCCTAGCTCTGGGTCCCTGAGCAAGCTCCTAATCCCATACTGCTCCCTGGGCGCCACACAGGGCATCCCACTACTCTCCATGGGGATGGGTTAAATGCAGAGAGTGAATTTCTCCAATGTGAGATTAATAAAGTTCAATTATGATTAGGCTATTTCCTGATTATCAGGTGGTGATAAATAGTTCATAGCAGAATCAAACCTATTGCTGCACAACAGACTATATAATGCTTAAAGTGAATCATGATTTAGCATTTCCACCCTTGGTATTTACACTTGTAAATTTATTCCTTTTTACTCTTCACACATGTAAACAAAACATATGAGCCACTGCAACAGCTTTGCATAGCTGCTATTCAAATACTGCTGCAAAGGCCTAAAAATAACATTTCTCTCTCGCAACATTAAATCTGAATGTTTTTGCGTAATGACTATTTATCCATTTAGTTGAAAATTATAAAGCAGTGAAATTTCCTTCCTAAACAATCATTTTAGGTTTAAATCTGGGGAATAAAAAATAAACAATGGTGGAATCAAAGTTGAACCCTTTGAGTTAAACGCCTCTGATCCTTATATGTTCTTTTCATTTGTCAAAATGTTCATTGACAACTCTAGTTTAAAAGACTGACAAATATTTCATGGTTTCAGCTTTTGAAGGGTTAATTATATCATAGTACTTGATATTCCCTTTGAAATGTGCTGCATAAATAAACCTGACTTGCCTTGCTAGTTTTTGTGGTTATTTTTTTTTTTTATAAACAACATATAATTATTTCAAAGACTAGCAAATTGAATCTGTATTAATAATGTTTTTTCCGTCTCACAAGTTTTTAATTATCAGATATTATTTTACTTCCACAAACCTACTGTTTTCTTATTCATACTTTGAGCTTCTGGGGTTCATATTTTTTGTGAAAAGCTTGTCTGTTCTATCACTCGAGAATCAGCCCTGAGGAAACCACTGAAACCTAATATGCCCTATTGATGAGATCAATGAATCCATAATTGTCCAAAAATGGGAATAGGAATCATTTTGAGATAATCTGTATTCCTTTCTATCATGTTCAGTGGCTGCGGGAAACAATCCTAACTCCTTCTGTCACTGGTTGTGGAGCCTGAGGTCAGAGCTGGATAGTTTAGCAGTTACATAAGGCTGGCAGGAGAGTCCCTGCTGTAATATTTCTGCAGTCAGAGTGAAGTGCTGACTCAGGGAGGCTGCCATTTCCATTACCTTTATTACTCAGAGGTCCCTGATATGACAGAAATGTACAAATTCTTATGCTGAGTCAATTAACTTGGAGGGAGACGGACAAGGAGGAACTCTTCAGGAACATATTCTTCTCATTCTAGGTGGTCTTAAGACTGTCTGTTACAGATTTCCAATCATGCAGCTTTGGTTTCTTACTTTTCAAAGAGAAGCTTTCCTTATCATTTACTGTTAATTCCATTTACCACAGCACATAATATTTTTAAAGAATTCCTGATAGATATTCTGGATATAAGTCCATATGTTTTTGTGTTTCCATGCAGGCCAAGCACTCATGCAGAACCGCATTATAGGTGGCAATGCAGCGGCACCAAACTCCATCAGATACATGGTATCGCTGCAGAGCACAAGCGGCCAACACTTCTGTGGGGGATCACTAGTTCACAGGTACTGGGTTCTGACTGCCGCGCACTGTAACATCGGGTAAGAGTATGCAACAGCTATAATCATCTCTAACTATGAACTGCTGGATGGATACCTGTTTATTATGGGATTCTATTTTCCAGTAATTGCAGATAAATCATAAATAAATTGATGAAGCAAAAGGAAATCATCAGAATCAAGCAGGTGTTCTTCAAACTGCAAACCTGAATTATCTATGCCATGCTACAATGTCGGATTCAGAAAAATATGTTAAAATGTCTTAAAGGTCGGACACAGGCGAGAGCGTATCGGGAGACGGAGACCAACTAGACCTCCCTGATCCTTGGCCCTATCTCAAAGAATTTTTCGAAATAGTCGAAAAATTTAGCTTTCACTTCATATAGTGGCATCTGGCTGTTTTTTAAAAAAGATTACTTTATACTTTTATACTTTAAGTAGTTTTTGGAGCACATACCTTTTCACTTTTTCTTGAGTAAAGAGGTCAAGTTGATACTTCAACTTTTACCAGAGTGTTTTTAAACTGCAGTATCTATACTTTTACTCAAGTAACAAATGTGTTTACTTCTGACACCACTGCTGCCTCATGATGTTGATGCAAGCATCTCAAAAAATCATTCCGTATGAGGGCTATACAACTAGGACAATTTGGGTCAATATCTATTATTGATATTTCTTACTGATATAATGCACTAAATATACCAGCCCACCTGATGGACACCGCTTACATTTGTAGTCCAACCCAGTTAAACACCCAACAGTTGGCTAGCTGCATTATCGCTGACACGTGGCCAAACAAACACCACATGGACCCCCCCCCCGTTGCTACAAAGTGTGCACCCATATGACAAACTACTGCTTTACACAATATCTTTTAGCACTAACAGAATACCATTTTTTCATATAAACTTCATATAAAGGATCTTATTTAGAAAAAACACAGCATTTTTATTAAGCCCCTACATAAAACAGCTTTCAGTGGTTTCCTACTTGCTGGCAGAGTCAACCTGTGTGTGATTTATTCTCAGTATAAATACAGAAAGCTGCTAAAGGCCACATAGATTTGTTGGAGAACATTAGCAGACTCAAAGTTTAAAACAAGCTATGTAAAGTCAAAAAACTAGCCAACCCAGAGACAGTTGTGACAGGTTGGCATGAACAGCATTAATCACAGAAGCAGCGAAAAGGCCTTTGGTATCCATGAAGGAAGAATTACTTGGCACAACACATGGATGCGGATTCCTCTAATCTTTTGTGACATTAGAGAAGTGGCAAGTAGAAAACTATGAAAGCAACATTTTAAAGGTGATAGCTACATGTTTAACTGGCCAGTAGGTGATGCAATCATGCTCCCTAGCTGTGGTTATCAGATCTATGAATGGTGATGTTATGTTAATGCTTGGGGTGGGTCTGGGGCCCCTCATGCCTGCTATTGAGTACATCTTCATGCTGAAGAAGCCTGAAAAATGTTATATACACAAGCACACTCATGCGTGTAAACACCACAGCCATTTAAATGCAGGTGTTCACAGGCAGACTGCTATGCTAAATACTAAGCAGCAGCTGCAACTATATATAGCTCTGGATAACATTTAAATTTTCTTTTGATGTTTGTTTACATGTATTTACAAGGTGTCCCTGGGATACTTCCTCTTTGGTTAATTCTTATCCCCTTTCCCTTTCTCACTATCATTTCCATCTCCATGTCAATTGCATAGGATTTCTTTTCCTAAAAGTAACTTCTATTAAAGTTTTACTCATAATCATCCACATGTCACATCAGCCAAGCAAATCTTTTGGGGTATTGTTCAGCACTAAGGATATAATTTCTCAGTGCTGTATTGGTAAACAGGATGTAATAAAAAAATTGTTTTAATAGAAAAATAAAATAATGCTAATGCTAACTTTAGTAAATAGGAAGGAAAGTGGAAACCTCTGCATGGCTTCTGCACACATTTGCTTCTTAGGTGTGCAACAATGCTCCACAGCCAGACCAATGTGTGCCCTTTTTTTGTTTTTGTTTTGGCTTGATTCTGAGAAATATATTTATATCCTGAAGACATATGTATATTCAATATATATATATATATTACTTTATTGTGAAGATGTACTTCAAAATGCATGAAACTTTTATTTATATGCTATATGTATTTTTAACCAGTAAAATTAATGCTTTAATTTTACACCATTCTAAACTTTTACTATTGAGAATTTTGATTGAACACTTGACCTTTAAGGTTTTCTGGAAATAATTTGAGCTGACATGCAGATATAAATGAAAGGGCTCCGGTCAGATGAAAGGCCAATGACCTACAAACAAATTACTGTGTTGTAGAGAGCTGACAGTGAACAACATTCTGAAAACACGCTTTCCAATGTAAAATATGGTGGTATTAGTGGTATGTTGCGGGGGTTAGTAGTAGTAAGACCTATGAGGAAAGGTTTTCTTTACACCAAACAGGAAAGCTAGTCATGGTTCATGGGAAGATAGAGCTAAATACACAGTAAACCTGGATAAAAACCAAAGTTAGTAACCACAAACGTATTCATATGACTGACCTAGTCAAAGTAAAGACTTTAATCTAATCTTTAATCTAATCTTGCCCTTTGGCAAGAACTATAACTGATATTCTTAGATACTTTCTGACCATTTGAAAGAGAAGAATGGGCAAAAATATGAACAAAAACTTTTTCCCCCTCCTTATTCGCTGTCACAGCAAAATTGTTAGTTTTAATGTCATAAAATGTGAAAAGGTTTTAGTTTTAGTTTTTTTCTAAAACACTTGCAAATACATCAGCAGTCAAATTGCAGTTTTCTTGTATGCAAGAGACTGTTGAAGGTAATCTCTCTCAAAATGATAAGAGCTAATTAGTATAAACAACAACAAAAAGGACCTTTCAGGAACACACAGGTAATGTCGCAGCAATCTTGTCCTTTAGAAGTCAAACTGCACACTGATACAGTGGAGTCAGCTGACCTTGTTGCAGCATCATTTGTGTGTGGGTGTGTTAGTGTGCTAAACACAGAGTGACAGTGAAGTGTCATCTTGTCTAATTCCTGGAAATCGTCCATATTTGAGTAGCACTGCCCCAGTCCTGTCAGCTTACAGTAAGCCATTGTTCACAATGCGTCCGGCTGCAGTCGCAGTAAACCCTCTTCTAGAATCTGGAAAAATGTCTACACACTCATTTTCCTGTATGTCATTTATTATTCCTAATGCAGCGTGTGTACAATTATTAAGCTGGTTGTGTTTCTAAAGGGTTTTTAAACAACTACAGTGCTCTCAACAAGACTATAATGTAAAAAACAAACAAACCAATAGATCTATAAGAGTCAAAGTTAGTTTTTTTCTTTCTTAAGTGTGTGTTAAATGTGTGCTTAATTATTAGGTAACAATAAGTTTAAAAATGTATTATTATTTTACATATGTTGTTCTTTTTTATCTATTCAAGTAAAAATTAACCCAATCACAAACATAAGTTTTACCTGGAAAATAGATCCTCACTAAGGAAGCACTAAAAAAATGGGGGGATGATAACCTCTGGATAAACCTAAAAAATTAACATCTCTAAAAAAAAAAAAAAAAGCATAATTTTAACAGCACAAACCTGCAATAACAAAGCACTAACCATTCAATAATTTTTTTCTTGTGGGTCTGGTGTCAGCTTCACACTGCTGTTGATCTCCTTAGGCCACACTCTCCCTTATTAAACAAACATATGTTAACATATAGAATTAAACTGATAACTACTCATGTTTGTTTACCTCAAAAATAGAAAATTTGCATAAATTAACATTTCTTTCATGCTCTCTTGTCAGATGATTGTGAGTTTGCTATGCACTGTATCATGTCTCTTTGATGGTGGGTGTCGTGTCTATTTTAGGACAGATCAGATGATTATAGTGGCAGGGGACTACAAATTAAATGTCTTCGAGGGTACTGAGCAGTATGCTAAACCACACAAGCTGATCCCTCATCCCCTGTACAACAGCAGCACCAACAACGCAGACATCATGCTCATTAAGGTACAGCATAAAATAAAAATTTCTTTAGACCCTTTTCATTTTTTCTTTTTAGACTTTTTTTGTCCCATCTAATTAAACTCTTTTTTTTTTTCTGTCCAGTTGCGCGCCCCTATGGTTCTGAACAAGTTTGTCTCCCTGGCACCTCTCCCCAGACAGGGGACAGGTGTGGTCGAAGGCCACCCGTGTCAGGTGTCAGGATGGGGCCACAATGGTGTCGGTGGAGTCCAGGCCCCTGTTACGCTCCAGTCGGTCACAGTCCCCATTGTGTCAGCCGCAAGATGCAACAGCAGTGACTCCTTCGATGGCAACATCACGGCGAACATGATCTGCGCTGGCTCCCACTCTGGAGGAAAAGATGCATGCAAGGTTTAGCAGAGAGTTTAACTACTATGTTATGCAGGATTGTTTTATACAATGTATTTTCCATCTCCCAAATCCTTTCTCATGGTATTTATCAGGTCGCACAAGAGGATCTTTTATGTAACCATAATAAAGCCCATCCCTTTATCAATTAGATGATACAGCTTCCCATATCAGCACATGAACTGCTGGGCGGACATACTATAGTTACAGAGAAAATGGAAAAGCATCCCACAAATTACATCAAAGCTGAAATTTGACAGCAAAGTTTAGAAGAAAAACTCATGTTTCAAAAATATTAATGCAAATTATTGTTTTCTGTAGCAGTTCATAGGATTGGACTTCCTGTTTTTTCCCAGGTTGCTTAGTGGCAGTAAAATGGAAGTGTGTTATATGGAGGAGTCTCTAGTGCACTACAGCAAATTACTGACTATCAGTAAATCAGCTTTGCAGCTGACTTAAATTCAAATCCAAAACATTATTCTTACATTTGACCAAAATTATTTAACTCAATTAGGTGAACTGGTTCCATCAAACTAGCTTGTTAAACTGCAACTAAAGCAAATTAAATTCCACAAATTACCTCCAATAATATTAATTCAAATCAATGATACTTAACTGGCATAATTAACCTTTACTAGAATCTGTTAAATTTCACTTAAGAATTACTTAAGTCTGCAATGTTCATTAAGTGATTTTATTTATTTTTGTTAAAATTAAATATATAATACTAGGTTAAGTGGAACCAGTTGACATAACTTGGTTAAGTTAATTCAACATGACATTCTTAAGAGTGTAGAAATCAGTAGTGATTCAAGAATATCCCTTTTGGAAGGAAACTAATTGTTGACATCAAAGGCCTGATACAACTATAACTGATTTTAAATACTGCAAAATTGTTTTTAAAACACTCCCCAAAAATGTAAAAGAAAATGTAATAGAACTTCAGTCTATTTTATTTGGATTTTGCATGATGGATACTGCAAGAATCATGCTGCTCAGTGGTACAGTGGGTAGCTCTGCTGACGTGCAGCAAGAAGGTTGCAGGTTCAATTCCCTGCCTGGGATCTTTCTGCATGGAGTTTGAATGGGTTTGCATGTTCTCCCTGAGCATGTGTGGATTCTCTCAAGGTACTCTGGCTTCCTCCCACAGTCCTCCCTGCGATGCGCTGGTGACCTGTCCAGGGTGTACCCCGCCTCTCGCCCGTAGACTGCTGGAGTTAGGCACCAGCACCCCTCGCGACCCTAGCTGGGATAAAGCGTGATGGAAAACGAATCAATGAATAATGGATCAACTTAACACCATGCATAGTTGTGAGATGGAAGGCAAACTTTAATTGTTTTTTTCTATATATATAAATGAAAATCCAAAGAGCTCATTTGTAATCAGCTTTTTAAGTGAAAACTTTAGAACAAACTTGTATGGAGTTGTAGGTGCAAGCCTTCTCCACTGACTATGAGACTGAAATTATATCCATTATTTTATTTTTTTATAGTAAATGCTTAACTAACTAATTTTCACGCTTTGGCAGCAGATTCCCAGTTGAATTTGGATCTGGACTTTTTTAACCAGTATAACACATAAATCGGCATTGATCTGAAGCATCCATAATGGCTCTAGCTGTCCTTTCAGGACAGTCCACTGTAAAGCACTGAACACTGTTAAAAAAAAAAAGCATTCCCAGAGCACTGAGTCTCCATCACCATGTTTTATAATAGGAATGGTGTCTTCAGAGAGACATGCAGCATTAATTTTCTATCACATAGTTTATTGTTGATCCCATCTGATCAGAGTATCATCCTCCACATTCTCCCCCTACATGGTATTAGGTCAACTGTAAGCTGGAATTCTTTTGGGTTTCTTTCTAGGATGAATTTCTCAATGCTGCTCTTCCATAAAAACCTATAAACAGATATTAAATGACCTTAAAAGATATTAAGTGACCTTAAAGGACTGAGACATTTAAGCCAAAAAAATTAGCAAACTCATACTGAGGTGTTTTCCCACAGGCTCAGTAATATTTGAAACCTGAAGGTGTTACCTGTGGGGACTTTCAGGCTCAGTAACTGATAGAGGGTGTGGTCTTGTGTTTGCAGGGCGACTCTGGCGGCCCGCTGGTGTGCAGGGGCCGGGTGTACGACATGGTGTCATGGGGATATGGCTGCGGCGATGCCAGGTTCCCCGGTGTGTACACTGCTGTGTCCAGATTCCGCCGCTGGTTAGACCAAACCATCTATGGACCACACCTGCGCTGTTTTGGATACAGATGAAGCTCTGAGACTTTCCTGTTACACTAAAAACAGCACATGGTTTCCTCTGATATGTTATAGTTTTAATGAAAAGCTCTGTTCACCTGCCTCCTACTCTTGTAATTCATCTAAAGATTTTTTGGACAATAAATAAGACAATTTAGAAAATAGTATATATGTATTGTTCTTTAAAAAACAACAACAAAAAAGAATATACAGTAGCACAATATACCATTCAAAATTTCCCCACTTTCCTTGATACAATTTCTTTTTAAACATCATTGTTTGTACTAAAATATTCTTTCTGTCATGATTTGTGGACATTAAGATCTAAAGAGAAGCATTATCTCCTGGTCAGACCCTGTAATTCAGTGAAAGGGTGGAGTCAGAGTAAATAAATATGCACGCCCAGGAGAAGGAGATGTTACTCCAGTGGTTGGAAGTTGGGTGGGATATTGCTGGGAGTTGCAGGGAAGTGGGCTGCCATTCGGCTGGGAAGGGCCATTTTGACTCGCTGCTACTGTATATACATATATATATATATATTAATACAAATAAAAAGCAGTGCAACATTTTTAGTAGAAGAGAAGGAGTAGGCTACTTTTCACTGTGATGTTTTACAAATAAAAAAAATAAAAACTTAAATGAGGTCCACTGCAAGCATATTTACTTGAAAGTACCACAAGTAAATCAGGCTCTTCTGTGAGCATCTCAGCTATTTGGTAAAGAACATTACTGTAGAAATAGGATCATAAAGACCATAAAACGCAGGTTAGGGGTCAAGGTGTAAATAATTAGAGCAGCATCAGGTGTATAAACTATATCCTTGGCTTTGGCCATCTAACAACTCGTCAGACCAGAAAAGTATTAATCAGAGAAGCTGGAGAGGGTGACGGTTATCTTGGTGGATCCACAGCTCTGGAAGAGTCTGTCAACAGAACAATCTTAACTTGTGTAGCTTAGTTCATAAATAAGAAAGCAATCTGGGGGAAGGTGTTCTGACTGATGGAGAACAAAACTGTAGCAGAAATTTAACGCTGTGTATCAATCTAAACACAACATCTACATGGCAGAACATGGAGGTGGCAGTTCAAGTTGGTATGAACGCCTTATTCATCAGGGACAGGAAAGCTGGTGGGAGCACAATGTTATTTGTATTTGCAATCATATTATTCTCTCTTCTATAAATGGTTCCACCGCTAGAAAAGAAGTAACCTCAAGGGATTAATAAAGTGATTCTGATTCAGAGTTGCTGGGATGGAGCAATACCTCGGGCCGATCTTTGGACAAAAAAAACAAAACAAAACCTGCGAGGGGGTTTACCCTAAAGCAGGACAGTGACCCTAAATATACGACTAGAACTATAAGGGAACAGCTGAGATAAGAGCATATTCATTTGTTGTTTTAAATTGCAAGTTTTTTTTGAGAAGCATCAGTTTTTCTGTCATTTCACAGCACAACTTAAGGCTAATTTATGTTGGTTTATCAAGTCTAACATAGAAACCACTTGCTGTTAATTGACAAAATATAAAAATAAAATCAGGTGGTGTAAATACTTTTTCAATGCTGATCAAAATTTACATCTAAAATATGCCTTAGATGGTTTAAATCCTATGAACGATCATCCAGTTGAGTTGACAAGTTAAGTGAATTATTCTAACCTAAGGGCCTCCTTTCCAGATCATCTTGTTATTAAACCATTTTAGATCTAATGGGAATAGGTGTGTCATACCTGTTCCTGTTTTAAATAGACGTGTAAACTCTCCTCTTTGCAGGCTCAAGTGTCATCTGTACGTCCATTGTCTGCGTAATTATACTGGCTTCTGTCGTCCTGACAAAAGATGATATATGTCTTTTTACCCTTTTTACTGAAGCTGTGGAGGACTCCCTTCATCATGTCCATACTGAGGATACATTATAGCTAACAGTAGACATCAGGCAGTGGAAAACTCCTTTAAAAAAAATCCCCCTAAGGGTAGTTTTGAATCTATACGGTTTAATCTGATCTGGACGCTTTGTGCTTATTGTGTTACCATCTAAAGCTTTTAAAGAGGATCACTTCAGCAACGTGAATAAAATAGGACATCATCCTGACAAGTCAGTACTTTAATTACCAAATATTAAGTCACATTTTAAATGTGCTCTACAACACCTATGAAGTATTTGAGTACATAGAGAATTGTGTCCCATTTTTTATCCATAGATAGATAGATAGATAGATAGATAGATAGATAGATAGATAGATAGATAGATAGATAGATAGATAGATAGATAGATAGATAGATAGATTTTTCATGGCCATGAATTTCAAAGAATTTTTGTAAGCAAGGTTCAATTAGAGCGTAATACATAGAAATACAGAAATAACATAAAAAAATATATATTTGATTGATTTCCTGTTTTTAGAAGTAGTGTCTTCGGTACTTTTATTTTAACTCTTACTCTCTCTCTCTCTCTCTACATATATATATATATATATATATATATATATATATATATATATATATATATATATATATATATATATATATATATATATATATATATATATAAAACTCTTCCTCACCCACCACGGTATTTCAAGGGATCTGCTGTTACCACTCCTTAATTTTGGAGTCACTGCCCCGCGTGCCCCAATGACAACGGGTACCACTGATGCATTGACCTTCCAGTTTTTCTCCAGCTCTTGTCTGAGCCCCTGGTATTTCTCGAGTTTCTCATGTTCCTTTTTTCTGATGTTGCAGATATATATTTATACATATGTATATGGACTGCTCAGTGGCAGTGGGTAGGACTGCTCCTTTGCAGCAAGAAGGTTCCGGGTTTGATTCCTGGCCTGGGGTCTTTCTGCATGGAGTTTGCGTGTTCTCCCTGTGCATACTCTGGCTTCCTCCCACAGTCCAAAAACATGACTGTTAGGTTAATTGGCTTCTCTACATTCTCCTTAGGTAGTCCTAACACAAGTAAAACTATGTTATTAATATTACATTTACATAATCAATAATAATAATAATAATAATAATAATACATTTTATTTGAAAGCGCCTTATCACAACACCCAAGGACACTGTACAGGCAGATAAAATAAAATAAATACCCTTCCTCTCAATAACCATCATCGTTATAAGTTCAATAAAGCAGCAATCAAACAAAAACAACCAGAACATTAACAGTAAAAGCATTAATGATAAATAAAAATTATGAATCATATTTTTATCACTATTACTAAAAAATATATACAAATGGGAAAAAAATGATAAAAATATAATGGATTCAAAAATTAATATCTTTATTGCTCTATATTTGATTTGATTAGTTTCAATGTAAATGTATAAGATGCATAAACTTTTAATTTTCATTCAGTTCATAATTTTATAACACAGCTTATATCATATATCATATAAAAAATGAAATAAAAAAGAATATCAGATTTACATTTAAAAATGTTAAGTAAATTCTACTGAGCACTGCTCAGTCTCTCTAAAATGCCTGGAAAAGGAAGGTAGTAATAAGAGAAGGAAATAACTCTGGAAGAGCTGCAGAGATCATCATCAAGCTCTGATGGGAGAATAATATAACAGGACAACATATGTGGTGCACTCTAGAAAGTTTAGGCAAAGTGATAAGTGTAAAAGGTACTGATTGTTGGGAGCTGGAGAAATCCCATCTTTCTCCAGCAGAGTCCGCCGTGGATCCTCTGAGGGAGCTCCCTGCACAGCTGCAGCTCGTCAAGATCATCAGAGGATCCACTACTTAAGCTGTCTTCAGACCTTGCCTCAACGCCGCAGTGTTGTTCCAGTTGGTCAGCGCTAAAGCCTAGATCCTCTGAGTATCTCCATGACTTTGAATCCAGTCTGGATTCTAACTATATCTCTGTCTTCCAGGAAACCTGTGTCTCCTCTGAGAAAGCTCTGGAAGAGCTAACCTGCCGAGCCGACCCTCTGAGCCAAACCCTGAAGATCCCTCTGAGTAACCTCAAGCAGCTCAGGACTGAGCTGGGACTTCCAAGCCAAGGTCTGTTCTAACAAGACGTGAGACGCTGAAGCAGATAACGGACTCTGCTGATGAACCCTTCTCCAGAACCAACAGTGACTCTCCCAAAGTTAACCTCAAGAACCCTCAAGGTACAATCAGTGAACTTCTGGAAGAAAGACCCTGCCAGCAAACCGCTAACTGTGCTGTCTCTCACGCAGACTCCGGTGAACCAGTATCCAGGCCCCGAACCAGAATCAGTACATTCTGTTTGTTTGTGCTTAATAAACTGTTGAACTCTTCATCCTTGTGTCCGTCAGTGGTGTTCTGCATAACTGGGTCGCCTTCAGTGAACCCATCATGACACTGATGAAGTAAATGTGATAAATGTGAAACTGGGTATCACATAGAATAAGCCATGAAGAGGTCACAGCAAAGGGGCTCTGGTCAGGTGAAGTGTTTGTCTCACACAGAGGTTCTGTACACTCGCCACTTTATTAGGCACGCCTGCCCAACTGTTCATTAATGCTCTTTTCTAATCAGCCAATCACATGGCAGCAGCTCAATGCATTCAGGCATACATGGACGAGCTGCTGCAGTAAAAAAGAAAAATCAAACTCACTGAGGAAAGTTTCCAGTACTTTATTGATTCTGTTTTATTAAGGATTGAAGTAGTTTTGAAGGCAAGAGAGGGTCCAACTCGGTACTAGCAGGGTCCACCTAATAAAGCGGCTGGTGAGTGTGTGGTGGCAGCATCATGCAGTGGGAATACTTTCATTCAATACTGGCAGTGAATTCAGTTTATGGTTGTTTATTAAAACCTACCAAACATAAAAGAAGATTCTATTTAAAACATCAACGTAGAAAATATAAAACACAGAGGAAAACACAACTGACACAAGGCCTGACAGCAAGTTCATCTCTGAGTGACAGGAAAGGTGCTTATGTAACCATAAAAGACAGATATAAATGCCTATATATGTTACACTTTTAAGTACGATTAAGGGTTAAGATTAAAATGTTAAAGCTTTAGTAAAATAGCATTCTGTCCAAAGATTTTTTCAAATGCTAATCATGCTGAGTGCTTTAGTTCTTGCCTCTTAGACAATAATATATTCTTTAAGTAATGTCAAAAATATATATTTTTGCACCGTTACTATGCTATTCTAACTGAGATCAATTTTAAATAAAAGACACAATTTTTTTTTTTTTTTTTTATAAAAGAAATTAAAAATTAAAAAAATCAAGGGATCT